ATAAGTTGGGGGGGTTTTTTTGGAGATGGAGCCCCCCCCCCCCGCCTTTTATTCAGTAACCAACTGACTGGAGATGTGTTGGGAGGAATTTGAAGGTGGTTTGATGGTGCAGAGACCACCTGCTGCCCATGGGTGACCATGCGACCGGTCGCACTTCGGGCTCCTTGCTTCTCTAGGTAGAGGTTTTGGGTCAGCCTGGAGCCGGTTCGCCAGGCAGCGCGCGTGCCAGCTGACGAGATGTCTGTACGACTCACCTTAAACGTGCAATTAAAAGGAGGGCCGATGCTGTCGTATCTCTCCAGCGAGCTGTTCGACTTGATTTCGTAGTAGTCCAGACTCGACGCCCTGCCGTGACAGCGAACGAGAATGGGTCATGCCTCCGCCATCCAGATGGGACGGAGACGCACCATCAGAAACGAGAGGACTCTTGTATCTGTCCCCCACTATTCAAGAGCAATAAATTCACCTTCTCCATGCACCGAGCCTGCAGCGCTGGCATCTGGGGACTTGCTCCTGGCAATATATACATGGCAAAGAGAGCCCAAAGCTACAGCAGCTCTGGGGATAGAGCTGTTAGTGGGCGTGCGGGTGGGTGGACAGCTGGCTATGCCCTGCCCATGCAGCACTGGGTCTCCCCTTGAGAGAGAGCCTGACTCATGGGCACTTTCCCCCAGCAAAATGAAAGCAGGGCTTGTGTTTTATTGCCTTTTCAGATGATTTTTCTTTTGGAGTTTAGGGCTGCTGTGGGATTTTTCCTCCTCCATATCATCATTCTTGTATTTTTAACACATAGCACAGGCCCCAGTGGCCCGGAAGGGCTGTATTTTATGTATTGTAAATCTATATAAATGCATCAAATATAGGTATTTATCAGCTGGAAACTGGGGGGGGGGAAGGAGCCAACATGATGTGATCAGCAGCGGCTCGCAGACTACAGTATAGACGCCTCTCCCGTTCAGCGTGGAGCGCTGTATTCGTAACACGTTCGCAGATAGGTGTATTTATTGATGCACATGCATAATGCACTAGGCTAAAACCACCCTTAAAAGCTACCTGAAAAGTCTAATATACTCAAGTACCATTTTTTTCAGCTCCCCATTCTTCTGGGGCGGGGAGGGGGGGGAAAGGGTTTCCTGGCATTTTGTCCTCTGTTAAAATGAAAACAAGCACTGCCATAAATCATACTAAATAGTAAAGAGGCTGTTTTCCATGCCCTACCATCTGGAGTGTAAGTAGTTACAGAAAGGCTCCAGGATCTGGTAGAAATTATAGCAAGGGAAGCCTGGAATGTGCTCACGGATCCTGCCTTTTTCTAACGGGGTAAATCAATCGTGTGAGCGTCGGTTCCTCTTGCTCCTCGAGCTGACAGCGTGTCTGATGCAGGAGATGCATTTCCTAAAATCATCCCCCCTTTCCCTTCAGCTGTCTTTTTGGGGGAGATTAGGTTGGACGCTGGGGCTGGGAGCCCAGGCCTGGGACTTCAGACCCACATCAGCAGTTGGGAACCTAGGCTGGAAGCATGATTGTGTCCTATTATTGTAACTATTCAATAAACCAGTTAGATAAAAAGAAAAGCTAACACTCTCACTATTTACTACAAGAGTCAAGTGCTGATAAAACTAACGCTCTCGCTGTTGAATACGCCTCCCGCATGCTTCCACGCCAATGAAGCGCATATCGGCTCACGGTGTTACACTGCTGCGTTTTTTCAGCCTTCGTTGAGTCTGATGCATAGCATGGGGGGTGTAGGGCCGAGTGTGCCTGATTTTATATTTCCTTCGTATTTTTTTTAAGCTAAGCTGAAAACAAATTCTCAGCATGAAAGCCCCACTGGCACTTGTGGAAAGCCAAGCCCTCTTTGGAAAATACCATAGCTGCTGCTGAGTCTGCAGAAAAGAGCTGTTTTCCTATGGCAGCTATAGTAACGAAGCCTCCAGGGCAACGGGCTCCGGCTTTCCTTGAGAGATGCTGTAAAGCCGACGTGCAGTTTGCTCTGGGGTTTGTGACGCTGCTTCCAAATCAGGGTTACGATGTCTATATGGTGCCCGTTGCCACACTCTAGGAGTGGTTGGCCCCTTTCCAGCTCCCAGAATAATTCAGAGCAACCTGGAGACTGCTCTGATCTGGGCTGGGAGACCAGCCGCAGGGTGAAACGCTGCGGTGCTAGGTCTGTGCCGGTCTCTTGGCTGCATGCTCCTTGCCTGGAGCAGCGAGTATGAGCACGGACACAGGAGTGCCCAAGTGCCACCTGCAGCCGTCGCCTGCGGCCTCGCACGTCTCACAACTGAAGTAGGGAGTGTTCAGAAACGAATGTGAACACAACATTTCCCGGAAAATGCCACCTAGGCTTCTGCTCTCTTGTGCGCTGAACTAACCGGCATTAATGCAAATGGGTTTTTTTTTTTTTTTGCAATGGCATTTAAATTGGAAGCATATCACCGCCACAATCAGCTTTTGAGCAAGTATCCATACGTCCAACCCCAATCGCTCACGTTTTGCTCATTCCTGCTTCCTGTGCGTGTGATTCACAGACCACACGGTATGTGTCTAACCGGGGGGGTGAAACCTCTTCAGCGGGGCTCTCTGTAAATTCAGGGCTCTGGGGATCTGGCCGTGAGAAAACAACATGTGCTGGAGTCCTGCTGCACTATTGCCCCGTTCTCATTTATACCACAGAAGAGAACGTGGGTTTGAGCTTGAAATGATGCCGTAGCAGAAGGACATTGTGAGATTGACCTTTACCTCTGGACCCTAAAGGGCCAAGAACTTTTCCGGACAAGAAGGCCTTGTTGCAAGTGACTCGTCGGCACCTTGGATTATAACAACCGTATTAAAATCTGCACCTAGCCTCTGAAAACCTTTGACCTGCTTGGAAAGCCAATTCATACGGAAATGAATGGATTTCCCCTTTGAAACCAGGAGACTGACTGACTGAGGGGCTGGTCACAGGTGACATGAGAAAGATGCTGCGCACTACGCTAAGGTGGGCTTTGCTGCCCGGCAGCTCTTCTGGGGTTCGTGTCTACCCTGCCATAAATGTGAGGTAGCTCGCCCCTCAGTGCCGGGGGCCATAAATAATTTCACCTTCACTCTTAGGTAAAAACATGCAGATGGAGAGAGAGCGGGAATAGCCGAGATGCAGTACGTTCACACCCTGCCTCGCTGCGAGGCAGCTGGCTCGTGCCCTGAGAGCCCAGTGGCTCTGGACCGCAGCAAGAAACCCGGCTCTCTGAGACGGTGACAGCGCTGGACACGCAGTGTCCCGGCAGCATCCTAAGTCAGGAGCAGTGTGCTTTGGAAGTGCGCGGCCCAGCACTTGGGCCCATGCTGACTCGATTCAGACGTGCCACGACGGAGCATCGTACCGGGTTTGCTCTGAAACGTGCCCGCAGGTGACTCTCCCAGGAGCAGCGTCTGAGGACAGCCTCAGTCGGGAAAGGCTGGACTCAGCCCCTCCCAACTCCCACCCAAACCTTTTGACATGACATAGTGAATGCTAAGGCAGCTCTCATCCTCATCCCTCTGTGTCCCGAGGCCAGGGCACGCTTTGCTGCCCTTGACCCCATTCACCTTGCTGGGTGGCGGGCAGGTCAACTGCTACTAGCCCTGTAACTTGCCCCCGTCCTGTGTCTCATCCCCTCCCCAGGCTGCATTCGTGCCTCTGCAATAAGCATGGCACTAGGTAAGCCAAGCCTCTGAGGGCTTGTGAAAGTCCTGAGAAGCGTCTTGTTCAGCCAAGTACAGCTCAGCTCCGAATGACAGAGCGTGCCAGAGGCCGAAAGGACAGCGTCATTGGGGCACAGTCTCCTCCAGGCAGCCATGGAGGATATCCACAGCTCTGCACTGTTGGGTGTTTTTCCCATGGGTGCAACATGCAGCCGGTCCTGGCCAGCCCAGTGCTGCTTTATGGGGCTTGGCTTGGCACTCGCAACTCCTGCAGCTGCGATGGGGGCAGCTCTGGAGTTGGTGGTGCCCACAGGACAGGGCATCTCCAATGACCATGAGCTCATCCCCTCGGCAGTCCTGGCCGGCAGACGTCCCTCCCTCTTGGCTGCTGTGGGAGCCTGCTCTGCTATGCCCACATCACTGCACCCTCCCTTGCAGCCCTGCCAGTGTGCTGAGCTGGGGCCTCTGCCAGGACGGCCCTGTGAGTCACCCCTGGAAACCCGCCCGTGTTTCTCCTCATTTGGATGCCAGGGCAGCCTGCCAGGGCCAGCACAGGGGGAGCTGATACCCACAGACCCTAGCAAGGGGCATGAGTCCTGCAAAACAAGCTCCTCCTTTCCCCAGAGCCCCGGGAAAGCTCTGGAGCTCATGCCCTGAACCCGTGCAACCTTGGGCATGTTATTTGGTTGCTCCAGGCCTCTGAGGTCTGCTGGTTGGGGACAGGGCGGGTGGGGAGTTGGGGACAACTCCTTCCCTCTGCCCCTCAAGGCATCTTGTACAGCATCTCCCTCCAGGCTGTGGGGCTCACCATGCTTGGCCAAGGGGCACATGCAGGCATAAGGATAGAGGGCTCAGACCCACGCTTGGACCTAGCAGCTTGTGTGAGGCTATGGACAGACAGTGATTTAAATGCGGCGGGTGCTCAACCCCTACTCAGCAGGCTGGATCCACCCCGCAGAGCCATGTCATCCAGACCATGGGTCGTCTCATGGAGCCTATAGGGAGCCTGCAAGCCATGGCACCGTGCGCTAGATCCGATGTGTGGGATGACATGGAGCCGGGGGAGCCCAATTCTGGCCAGACAGAAGTGGTGCAGGGCCCCAGGGCCTGATCCCAGTGGTTGCATGTGCATGTTGGCGGGGGGGAAGTGATGGCATGGGGCCTGATGTGGCCGGTTGACCGGCCCTGTGCCATTCATCTGGCCCACTGGGCCAAAAGTGTGAGCACTGCTGCTTCACGCTGTCGTAAAAAGCAGTGGGAACTTGTTTTTCGAGCACAACCCTTGCCCGTCTGGATTTACCTGCCACGCTGGTATGAGCGAGCGCAACAGCCAACTCCAACCTTGGAAGCAACACCGCACGTGACAGGGCTTCAGCGCCACTCCCATGGGTTTGGTAGCAGACAGACACAGGGCTTATAGCAGACTATTTTATACTGTTATAATTTACTACCGGCGTAGCTGATCTGGCTGGGTGGAGCCTCAGCACAGGCCACAGGGCTTGGGACAAGTCTGTCCAGCAGCCAGTTCTGCGTTTCCCCACTCCCCCTGCCGTGAACACGCACCTGGTGAAAAGGAGGTCGGCTTCATACTTCAGGTGGAAATTCAGGAGGGCAGAATTATCCTCTTTGGTGGTGTTTCTTTCTTCGCTGTCACTGAAACGCAAGAAGCCAAACAGCAATGAGGGTGCTTGGTCCGGCAGGTGAGACTGTCTGCCCTGGTGGGAAGATTAATGTCCTAACTCTACCATGTGGAGCCCAAATGTGAGCTGGGACCCTGCCCTAAGGTGCTGACAGGGCTATAAGGGGCTGCCAGGTTAAATTTATGTCCTGCCAAAAAAAAAGAGAGCAGCTTTTATTTGGTGAAATGAATTTATAGGCAGGCAGGAGAACCCTCATGAGTGCAACAAGCTTCTGCAATTACTCTTGGCTTGTTGGTGGGGTGGGAGGGGGAGTAGGGAGCAGCTGCTAGGTGGCCCTGATGGAATCGGCATGTAGAAAAGAGCATTTATAGCTGACCCAGCATGATTCATGAGTCCTTCAAAGAGCCATCCTCCCTCCAACACCAGCGAAGGTAGGGACAAACATGGCCCTGCGTCCGTATGCGGTGGTGTTTGCATGTCCTGGTGTGTGTGGCACGTGGTTCCAGCTGATGCGGAGAACAATAACTTGTTGCTCCATTTGCAGGATGTACCAGGTCACGCCAGACCCACATGTTCCTGGGGTTCACCTGTGCATGTGCATGTGCATGTGTCCTTCTGGGCAAGCCTCTGGCTGGTCAGTGCCTACTGACTCTGCTGGGTGAAGGCCCAGGAAAGCTGCAGGTGGAGTTAAGGTTTCCTGCAGCAGGACTAGCAGTGGGGACAAGAGGACCAGGTACAAGATAGGTACACACTGCTTGGCTCAGCAAAGGGAAACACCTGCCTCAAGTGCGAATGCTATATGGCACCTGAGCCTCAACCTTCACCCACTGAAAGCAGCAGCAAAAGTCCCACCTGTGTTCATGCTCTTGCTCTTATTTTGCACCCTTTGGAGGCCAGTTCTGGGCTGGGCCGGGCCCCCCTGTGCTTTCCAGCACACGTGATGGAGAAACGTGACGGGCCAAAGTGGAAATGCAGACAAGCCTTTGCCCCGGTACATTTGACCCCACCATGGCCCCAGAGCAGAGAAGGTAGGGACAGGTTGTGAAACGCTCCTTGGGGCATGCAACCTCTTTCCAAACCGTCCTGAGGATCCCGCAGTATGTACCCACCTTGTCTACCCTCTGTCGTGATGACTGATGAGAAAGGAGAAATCTAGTGAGATGTTGTTGGCCTGTCGAGAGCCTGCACTTGTGCACAGCACGACACACAGGGTTGGGAAATGGGAGCGCCGGTTTGCGGGGAGTGATGATGTGTGAAGAAGTGGCCGGACACTTTCCATTCAGCTGCCGAGGCTGGCACGTGGCTGGCAGGTGCAGCCAGCCTTTGGTATAGGCACAGCCCTGACTTGCAAATACAGCAGTGAATATTTCCGAACAGCCAAGCGTAATTTCGTTTCCATGTGTCTGAAGGGCAGAAGCTGCCAATTGTGCCTCACCAAGCTAATAGGGACCAAAGATGGAAATGCAGGCTGTTGTCAGCAAGGGACAAAGCATGGGGGCCTCCATAGCCTGCAAACTCGCTCCCATTAGAAACCACAGGCTGCAATTGCTGAGAGGAGCAAGAGGTGAAACCCATCGCCAATTAGGCTGCAACAGGAGCGGGAGAGGACAGGCTCTAGGAGACGAGATCCATGCAGACAGTGTTGAGTTGAGTTAGGCAACGGAGGGGATAAACACGCCAAAAAAAAAAAAAAAAAGGGGAAAAAAAAAA